TTCCCGGTTGGTTTTGCTACAAGGTCACAAAAGTCCACCTGTTAGCGACAACAAAAGACAAAGTATTAATAATCGAAGTGAAGAAAATGAAAGTAACTTACAATAACCAGATTTAATGGCCATTGGGATGCTTGTCCCGTCGGCAAGAAGATCATTAGCGAAGTCGGGGCATTGCCATCTCCCCCAACCCACAACCACTCCTCTTGGAAGCCATGTAAAGTATCGGGGACCTCTATTATTAGTTCGCCGACTTTAACCCTTCGCTGGGGTTTACCGACAATAGAAAAGGTGAGAAGTGGGTCCGACATTTGTCTCTCTGGGCTCTTCCGGAATGTGAACATGCTCCTCATGTCCTTTGCCGACGGCAGATCCCACTTTTTCTCGGCGAAAAGTACCAGCAGCCCGATAATTCGTTTCCAAGAATTTGGAGCGATTTGGCATTTCAGAAACTCCCAGTCCCACAAGTACTCAGTGATTATACGTGGCAAAGGAAATCGCAAGCCTGATCTTAGGCTCTCAGCAAATACGCCGACGCAGTTGGGTGGAGGGCATGTGATCCTCTCACCTGGATATGGGGCAAACAGATGTACCGACGTAGGGACTCGAATTTCGCCCCGCAGCATAACGACGTCGGCTTCAGTAAGAATACTGGGTTCGCCATGGGATGTAATTTCAGGATTCGGCCATCTCCTAATAGGTCGCCTCCAAAATCTCGAGTCATCGATGGCGTTTCTCTCTACAACTTTGTCCCCCTCGCTGTCGTTTAGACGAATTTTCAGCCGTTCAACAAACATTGGATCCCACCGGTTATACTCAGATAATAACTCCAACTCCCCGGAATGGACCATGTTAATCATCATCACGTCCAACTCGTTGTCACCCGAAGACGCCCAAGATACGCTCATGATGTCGAGAAAGAGAAAGAAAAGTCGGGGTAAATAAATGAAATACGATGAGAAATTCTTACCACAGGAAGTAGTTCGCGAATCTGGAGTGCTTTGAGTACGATTGAAAAACGATTAATTTGCAAAGAAAGCCGAAAAGATGAGTGCAAGAGGAAGATGAAAGTAAAGTAGATCTGAAAAGAAGAACTCTTATTTATATTAAACCCTGGATTTGAAAGCGACCGTTGAGAACCGATAGAAATAAGGGCGCGTGGATTACACGTTCTGGATCTGCGAGTCGACGCGACTTTTGGAAATCGTGCCTTTTAATAGCAGCTACGTGGCCTATTTTAAGTGACCGTTACCCCTATTAATAAAACGGTGCAATTAATTTCAATAAAGTGCACCGTTTCAGCTTTTAAGTATCATTTCTACAAGTGTGGAGACATCGGATGAAGATGATGAAACCGACATGTCATGGAAATTTAGTCACGTCCTGTTAAACTTTCAG